TGAGGGTTGTAGTGAGCCGAGATCATGCCACTGCAGTCCAGCCTGGGCGACAGAGTTAGACTCTGTCTCAAAAAAAAAAAAAAAAAAAAGGCCTGGGCACGGTGTCTTACACCTGTAATCCCAGCACTTGGGGAGGCTGAGGCAAGCAGATCACGAGGTCAGAAGATTGAGACCATCCTGGCTAACACAGTGAAACCCTGTCTCTACTAAAAATACAAAAAAATTAGCTAGGTGTGGTGATGGGCACCTGTACTCCCAACTATTTGGGAGGCTGAGGCAGGAGAATGGCGTGAACCCGGAGGCGGAGCTTGCAGTGAGCTGAGATCGCGCCACTGCACTCCAGCCCGGGCGACAGAGTGGGACTCCGTCTCAAAAACAAAACAAAACAAAACAAAACAGAAATACATGGTAAATAGCGTGACCCGCGCTTTCCCTCAAAGGAAAAAATTAATAGATTTAACGGATAATGTCGGAAACTTTCCCTACACACAGACACACACACACTCATGCGTGTGTGCACGCCATGCACAGGGTAATTTTTGTTGCGCTTTTTTTTTCTTCTTTTGGTTTTTAAGAAAAGTTTGCCCATATAGCTGGGCATGACTTCACTTGTCTAAAATGGTCAGCCTCAGTTTAATGAGAAGCACGGGGTATTGTAAATCCGGGGGTGAAAACCAAGCAAAGGAAAATGCAGGCTAAATATCAGGGAAAATTTCCCGATCATGAGTCTGGAATGAGGAAGAGGGGAGGTGTGGTCGGTGTGGTTGGTGCCTTAAATTAGATGGGGAGATGGTGGGTGGAGAAGAGCCTACTGTGGACTTCTTCCCTCCGTGTGTTCTCTTTGGGTTTGCTTGGCAAATGTGCTCACCTGCTTCTCAAAAACTCCGTTTCATGGAAAGCAATGAATCTAATGCAATGCAATTCAATAAGTATATGATTCTGGCACCTTTCACTGGGGAGCCAGGAGTCTTTCCAATACCTGCTGAGAGTTTTGTGTGAGTTGGAGCTGTTCTCCTTGCTTATAGTGGAGGCAGAAGGCAGGCAGCGAGTGGACGGGTCACTCTCCCTGACCTGCGGGCCCCCATCCATTCTCTGCCTGCCTTTGCCATGCCTTGGAAGCCTGCCTCTGGATCACCTAGCTGCCCTTTGGTCTTGGTCTGTAAAGAGCCAAAGATTTGCAGGGCAAGAGGCAACATTATATAGGTACTTATATAACCATTTAAAAATGTAAAAATCGTTCTTTGTTTGTAGATCATATAAAAACAGGTGGTGGGGTGCATTTAGATTGTCAACTAAAGAAACAGTTTCTGCTGAGTAGTCTCTTCGCACGGCTGCAGCTCTTCCTGGAACCCAGTAACACCATTTTCCCACGTGCCCTTCAGGTGTAACAGCTCTCGTTGTTGCCAGCCCCTGGGTGCCTCACCGTAGCCTGGGGATTCCCTTCACTCTGCCCACACCTCTGTTAGCTCAACTCTTTTCAGTGTGCTTTCTGTTTCCTATCAGGACCACGGCGAGTTCAGGGAGAGAGTTCAGGAAAGGGAAACAGAGTTTATGGCACCACATAAGACTAAATGTTTTGTCCAAGGCTGAGCAAATGTCCTCAGGCATTGTGGCTAGCACGGGACTCACTGTGGATCACACATCATGTAAAACAGGATGAACCCTGAGATTCTGGAAGCAAGCCTGCCTTACTTCTGTATAGACAGCATGCATGATTCCTTTTGAATTTCTTTCTGTGCTTCTATCCTCCTTGTTGCACCTAAAACAACCTCTTTTTCTCTTCTCTCCTCAGAGAGATGGCATGAAGAATGTCACTTTCCGGACAGAGTGTGCCAAAACGGTCTGTGTGGTTTGACCGGCAGGATGCTCTGGGGAGTGGCTTCATAATTACCGTTCATGCTTCAGCTCTTTAATAAGGGATGAGCCAGGTACAACACTGTTTACTGGGGATTCAAAGCGTAGCTGGTGTGTGCAGGGGGTCAAATCTGGTGGAGAGAAGGCTCATAAACATGAGTAACCACACCAATGGCTGTGTATGCGTTTCCTCTACAGTAGAAGGAGCTGAGTAAGCATTGGCATTGGCTGTTCCACCAGGCAAAAGGAGGATTCATGCTCTGCACATCCTAACGAGGGAGTCCCGCCGAGGAGCTCTTCAAGTCCACCGGCATCCTAGGTCATTTCCATATGGCCTTTTAGTTGACTCCTAAGACACTCAGATTCCCAACCACTTAACATTAATTCGGCAGTTGTGTTTGTGGTAAAAATGGACCCAGTGTGAACATTAATGGGGCTCTCCTTGCTGAGATGCCTGAAAAATCACTGCAGTGCAATCATGGCCTCTTTGCCTATTTTAACAATCCAGTCACCACAGTTCCTGCCCTCCAAGAACTTCCTATGGAATGCTGGCTGGAACCTTTGGTGACAACTTCTTCATTTTTTTTTTTTCTTTTTTTATTTGAGATGGAGTCTTGCCCTGTTGCCCAGGCTGGAGTGCAATGGCGCGATCTCGGCTCACTGCAACCTGTGCCTCCTGGGTTCAAACGATTCTCCTGCCTCAGCCTCTGGAGTAGCTGGGATTACAGGCATCCGCCACCACGCAGCTAATTTTTGTATTTTTAGTAGAGATGGGGTTTCACCATGTTGGCCAGGGCTGGTCTTGAACTCCTGACCTTGTGATCCAGCCTCTTCGGCTTTCCAAAGTGCTGGGATTGCAGGCATGAGCCACTGAGCCCAGCTGGTGACAACTTCTTAACTCAGCTTGTTAAAACCCAGATGGCTGGGCCCCACTTCCAGAGGTTTTGATTTAGTAGATCTTAGGTGGGGCCCAAGAATGTCCATTTCTAACAATTCTTGGGTGATGCTGTTGCTGCTGGTCCAGGGACCACCTTTGAGAGCCAGGGCTTTACTACAGAGACTACAGAGACTAAGAGGAAGCTCAAGAGTCAGGACCGATGAAGTGATAACTGGGGCAACAGAGGCCTATCGCTCAGGGAGTCTGGAAGTGAAATGAGAAAAGGGAGGCATTGTGAACAAATGCTGAGAGCCAGTGTGCTTTTGGAGGCCTTTTGTGAGATTCTGAGTCACTGGGCCTGGAAATCTGTATGTTTTAAAGCACTCTCAGGTGATTCTGACACTCAGCTGGGTTTGAAAGCCTCTGTATATTCAACATCCTACAGTGCCTGGCACACAGTAGCTGCACAACGAATACTCACTGAATTGATAATAATTCTGAGTGGGTGTTGGGAATGTTTTTAGATTTCTAAATGTATTGGCCCATATACTTATTTACTGCATCAAATTCAGTCCTAAACTGCCAGTCAATAGAGGAATAATATGCTCTCAAGTAGAAACTGGAGTTTTCAAACAGAATTAATGTTCTCTCAGTGTCCCAGATTACAGAAACAAAAACCTGGCTGTAACCAAAGATGTGGCATTAGTCACAAGGTACAGATTCCTGAGAATGGCATAACAGAAAATCCCTTTTCTTCTTCATGGCTGAGAATCTGCTTGGCTCCTTCCTGTCTGCACATGCATGCACGCCACTGCATGTTCTTCATTAGAAAATAATTAGAAGCAAACAGCTGTTAGTCAAGCGAGCTGCATTTTGCCCACATCTTTTCAGAGTTCAATCCATTACCCCAGGGGGCAGGCTTATCCTAAAAAAAGAATCTCACTGCTTTAAACACGGCAAAACAAAATAGAAATGCGTGGCAATTCAGGTGAGCTTGAGCTAGCTCAGCTGAGGTAAAGGTGACCATCAATAACGTTTTGTTACACTGCCTGCAATGGTACTTCTTTTGATTTTGTTGGAGAAGTCCTGCTCCAAAATTAGCAAATTAACTCAGCGAATGATGAAAATAATCTTTGTTGCTATCGGAAGGGGGTAAGGCTGTGTGTGTGTGCGCGCATGTGTATGTGTATGGATGGTGATGGGAGCTGGCTCTATTGAGTCTTTGACTTGAGGCTTTGGAGTTGGCTCAGTTCTGTTTGCAGCATGAAACTGGAGTCTGTAGCCCTGAGTTGGGGGCCTTGGGTTCCAGACCTCAGCAGAACAAGGACTTTGCCTATCTTAGTATAAAATCAGAGGGTGGGAACAGATTATGTCTAGAGTCTTTTCAGCTATAATTTTCCAGTGCTCTTTGATAAGTGGCATAGTGCAGATGTGTATGGGCACGGCTAAAGAGTGAAGGTGTTAACTCAATCATGTGAATTCAAAGCCATTTGGACCAAGAAGAATAGAAAAGAGGCCTTCAGGCTGGGCATGGTGGCCCATGCCTGTAATCTTAGCATTTCAGGAGGCCGAGGTAGGCAGACTGCTTTAGCTCAGGAGTGCAAGACAGGCCTGGGCAACATGGCGAAACCCCATCTCTCAAAAAAAAAAAAAAAATACAACAATTAGCTGGGTGTAGTGGTGTGTGCCTGTAGTCCCAGCTACCTGGGGGGCTGAGGTGGGAGGATGGCTTGAGCCTGGGAGGTCGAGGCTGCAGTGAGCAGAGATCACACAACTGCACTACAGCCTGGGTGATAGAGTGAGAACCTGTCTCAAAAAATAAATAAAATAAAATAAAATAAAATAAAATAAAATAAAATAAAAAAGAGGCCTTAGGAAGCATTAACTGCCTCCTATGGCTTATGCTTCCCAATAAACCAAAGAGGATTTTAAACTCTGGAGGTGTGGGGGAAAGAGAGATGGTGGAGAAAAAAGATTTGTTCACAACCAGGAAGAGTGAGTCCTAGATCCATGGCCGTTGAGATTTGCTGGTGGGCCCCGATACACTGGTAGGAGGCTCAAATAAAAGGGAATGGGCTTATGTTATGGCAAAAGGAGTAGAGATTAGCATCAAGGAGTATGCTGCCATTTTTCTTAGACAGTAGATTGTCTACTAAGTGAAGTTATGAGATGTTATGGAAATTTATAGTCACTCTCTGGGGTTACTACCCAAGTTACTTGACTCATAGTCCATGCTTTTTCCACTACTTTGCCATGGTGAATTTTTTTTTTTTATATGGAACACTTCATGAATTTGCATGTCATCCTTGCCCAGGGGTCATGCTAATCTTCTCTATATTGTTCCAATTTTAGTATATGTGCTGCAGAAGTGAGCACCATGGTGATTTTTAAAAAGCCTAGTTTTCAACTCAGATTATGTGGAAATTGATAGTAATTACTTGTACTTCAAGTCCATAATTTTAGATAATTGTTCCCCTGTGATGAGCTGGATTTTAGGTTGGGATTTTATCACTTGGAAAGATTCTGATTCTTCACTATGTAAGTGTTTTATCAGGACTGACAATAGATTTTTGAGTAGAGAGACACACCTTGATCGGAGAGTACCACTTGCGTGGGGAAGAAGGCCGACGCATATTGTTGTTGAGATTTCGCGGCTCAGGGAATTCATATTCCTGCTCTGGCATCTTGACTCTTGCATTCTTTGCCTTTTCCAACTTAGCACCTTCTTCTGTGGAGCCCTTTTCTCCCCAACGAACCTAAAATAAATAAAATATAATGAAACAAAATGACAAAATATGCTGCCCCTTGAGAATGAGAATGACAAATACATGCATGAGTTGCAATGTGAATGCTACCCAACCCTGGATTCCCTTGGGTTTTGAGGACCAGGGAAGAGGGAAATTGTGGAAAAAGAGAAAAGGGGAGAACCGAAGGAGCAGAGAGCGTGAACCACATGGGTGGATATTTAGGGAGGAATTGTCCAGGCAGCGGGGACAGTACATGCAAAGACCTTGCAGGTTCAGGTACGAACTCTGGATTTTAATTCAGTGAGAAAAGAAATCACGAGGAAGTTTGAACTGATGTGTTCCCTGCTCTGACTCACAGTGGGCAAGACATGGGAGCGCACAGTGAAAAGGCTGTCCCTCCTATCTCTCCATCTGTCTGCCTTACAGTCCATATCCCCACCAGACCTCAAGCAGGTTTTCAGCAATTTGCTTCGGGTTTCTGACACAGAGTGGTCAGCATGGTCTATGGCCATACTGCCCTGAGCATGCCTGATATCTAGAGGCTAAGCAGGGTCGGCCCTGGCTGGTACCTGGATGGGAGTAGTCAGCACATAGATAAGTATATATTAAACTGTCCTCTTACCTCCATTCTTTTAATGCCTCCAACGCCTCTCCCACCATAATAAGAGGCATCTACCGTTGGCCACTTTTTCTTAGGCAGACCATCATCATCTTCTTCCTGCAGAGAAATTGTGGCACATGAAGGAAGCAAAACAGCACTGCTGTGTGGACCTGTCTACTATGGCCAAGTGATTAGGAGTAGAACTTGTAGAGTCAGACTGCCTAGAGTACAATCCCAGTGCTACTGTTTCCTGGGATCTTGGGCCAATCACTGAAACCACTTAAGCTTGTTTTCCTTATCTATAGAGTGGGAATGTAAGCAGTGCTACCTGGTAAGTTTGTGGTACAGTCCTGTTCTCTTGTTCTTTTCTACAGCTCTACTCCTTTGTGGGAATCGCATCTAACCCCACCTACATGCTGATGACTTATGAATTTATATCTTCAGCCCTGATGCCTCTGAACTCCAACTACTCACTTGACATTCACATTATTTGGGGGCTAAAAAAGATCTCAACAAAACCACCGCAGAGATATCCTGATTTCCCTACCCTAAATGTGCTCCTCCTGTAGTCTTCCCCACTGCCTGGAAGTCACTCTCTCTTCTTTACTGCCTTTCCCCCACTTGTCCCAACTTGCCAGCTAGTTCTGTTGCTACTACTTAAAGATCTGAAATCTGTTGACTTCTCCACCCCAACCACCACCCTGGGCCCACGCCCCCATGCACTTGCTCCTGGACACTGTGGTAGCTTCCCAACTGGCCTCCTGCTGCCCTTAGACTCACCTATGATCTGTTCTCCACAAAGCAGCAGGGTAAGTGCAAATGCCAGCTCTGCCCTGTGTGTTCTGGCCTTCTTCCTTATCATGCGCCGCCTCCTCAGCTTCTAAGTGACAGAGCTGGATTTGAACTCATGCAACCTCATTCTCATTTGTTTCTCAGCATTGGCCAGTCTGGATTTTGTTCTTCTGTGGTTTGCTTTTCTAATCATTTGATGGCAACAAATACACGCTCATTTTTGACTTCCCCTTGTACCTGCTAATTTCGATACTTGTTTTTTGTTTCTTTTTGGAGACAGGATCTCACTCTGTCACCCAGGCTGGAGTGCAGCCTCAACTAACCCAGCTCAAGCAATTCTCTCACCTCAGCCTCCCTGAGTAGCTGGGATTACAGACACATATCAATGTGCCCGGCTAATTTTTCTATTTTTTTTTTTTTTTGTAGAGATGGGGTTTTGCCACATTGCCCAGGCCGGTCACAAACTCCTGGGCTCAAGTGATCCTCCCACCTCAGCCTCCCAATGTGCTGGGATTACAGGTGTGAGCCACTGCACCTGACCTTAATTTTGATAATTTACAACTGCAAAATATGACAAAATAAAGTCCCCAACACAATAAAATATTATAGTTCATATGATTTTACCTTATAATTTCAGAGGTTTCTTTCACCTTATGATGTGAAAGCAGGAATCTTATATATCCTATATGTGGTTAAACTTTACATTGGCGGTGGACGTATGTTTCTGTGTAAGTGTCTGTGAACATAGATAAACAAAATATGGCTCTGAAAGCCTGGGCATTCCCGCTCTGGGGCAGTTTTCCAAAGGAGATTACAGAAATTCTATACCCTAAAGCTGAACACAGCAACACCACGAACGTTAAGAAACTCCAAGAGCAAAGCCGCTTTATTCCATAGGGGACTCAACTAGGTTCATGAGCCTCTTAATCATTTAGGAGCTCATCTAATTAAGCCTTTTCACTGCACAGAAGAGGAGTCAGATCTAGAGAAAAGTGATTCCTGAAGGTGAAATTCTGGTGTGGTTATCTGATGCCTTGTCCAGGGATTTTTCTCCCCCTATATTTTATGAAAAGAACTTAAAGAAGGATTTACAATTGGCTTTCTCTAATTCGCAACCCCGTTGAGTGCTCAGGATATAGTAAGATGCATAAAGCCGGTTTCCGCTGCTTTCCAGGCTAGCTTGCACACCGGGGGAACCCTTCCTCTAGTTCCTGGCCCCTCCCTCTAGTTTCTGGCCCCTCCCTCTAATCCCTGGCCGCTCCCTCGTCCCTGGCCCCTCCCTCTAGTCCCTGGCCCCTCCCTCTCGTCCCTGGCTTGGGGAAGGAGGCCCCGCCCCCGTGCTCAGGCCCCGGGCAGGGCCTGGCCTTCTCGCAACAGGAAATGCCTAGGGCTTGGGCAATCTCCATACACTGCAGGGCCACCGAGCCCGTCGCTTAATCCCCTGACCGGAGCCGGCCTGCCAAGCTCAGACAACAGCACCAGGCAGCACAAAGGCCCAGGGGCTGACGGACGGGAGAGTCAGAGTTTCCCCTGCAGTTAGCATGGGTCTGTTTACACATTCTGGAGACAGAAGGGTTTTGCAATTCCCAGGAAGAGAAGGGAATCTTTGATGTGTCTTTTCATTTGGCCAAAAATGGATGGAGTAGAATCCCAGCCCCTCAGCAAGGCCACTAAGAAACTCGGCAGCACCGGAGGGTGGATTTTCACATCTCATTATATCATAAAGGCTCTTGAGAACTTCCTCCTACACTGCCCTTCAAGGATGGTAGCAGGGAGGGAGAAAACACCAGTATAGAAATCCTCAGTGTGAGCTGGCTTTCCTTTAGTAAACTAAAAACAAAAAACAAAACAAAACAAAACCAAACCTTACTGTCCTCTATGGTTATTGGAGGATGGGGCTGGATGAGCCCAATTGCTTTGGATGAGAAATCAGGGGTTTGTGGGGAATGAGAAGATGAGTAGAACAGAGTGGGGCCGAGTTACCAGCAAACTGCTGAGACCCCCAATTCCCCCGAGTGGTGGGAGTGGCCGATGGTAAAGAAGTGGCCCTTTACTATTCCACCAGGGCTTGTGGGCTGCACTATACTTTAAAACCTTCAGTAAAATTTGCTGCGCAGCTGGATGTGTGCCAGTGCTGCTAGATCGTGTCTAGCAAACCGAGAAGATGAGATAACGCGGAAGAAGCAAGGAGTAGGAGTCAGTGGTGCCTGGGAGAAACCGCAGGGATTGGGGAGGGAGGCTGGTTTCCCATCAAGGGAAGTTGTGTTTAAATCTGAAAGGATGTGGTGGCTCCAGACGTCCAGCTGGCTGGAGCTTGGGTAACAGAAATGGCAGCACATTCCTCAGATGGTAGAGGCCCCTTCTGACCTGCATGTCCTCAGGCAGACCTGGGTGTGCCTGCAGGCACAGTCCTGCTCGAGGAAGAAACAGCTGTAGAGGATGAAGTCTCTGAACTCACTTGGTTAGCCTGTAATTGGATTAGCCCTGTGCTGTCCTCAGACCCTGAACTTTTCCCATCTTTCCCAATCATGCCAGGCTTTTGTGCAGCTCCGCGCTTCAACATGCAGGGCTCCACATGCCTGGAAAGCCCTTCTCCCATTTATTCTACCCATCCCTTCATGTTGTTTAAGTGTAACCTATTCTGCGAAGAACTCCCGGGTTCCCCAGAGAATGCAATGCTCCCTCCTCATGTTTCCACAACTCCACCTTCCACTCATGCAACACATTTAACTGTTAGTTATTAAGCAAACCAGAGGGTAGAAGGAATTAATTTTCCAGATTCTGGGGCTGCCTCACTCCTGCATGTAGACTGTGCACAGGACAACTCCACAGACTTGATGTGAATAGTGCCCCCTGGAGTTGTGCATAGAGTGGCCCTCTCAGACTCAGTTGATAAGTTCTTTAACATTCCTGCTTCTCTGGTATCCATTTACTAGAAGAGCCACATGGCCAGTTTGACCCAAGAAGGCTCACAATTCCCAATTCACTGCAAGTTTCAATAGGAACTATCAATGAAAAGAAGCACATAACTGAAAGAGAATCAAGCCCAAGGCAGTAGCTTTAAATCAGCCTTTAAATTAATTTTAAATGTCATTGAACTGGAGCAAATCTTAAATGTATAAGCTCAACAAGGGCCTTTTATTTGTCAATTCTTTCACTAACTCAAGCAACTATCATTGAGTCCCCATCACCTGCCAGCACAGTGTTGTATTTTGAGAAAAATAAAGTGAACTCAA